GGGGCCCAGCAGGACTGCGGGACGAGCGAGCTGAACGGCAGGAGTGAGCAAAAACATCCTCAGGGAGCAGACGGCGTGTACTGAACCCCGCAGCTGTGGCTGGAATGGTGGGGCGTCCCAGCAGGGCGGGGGTGCAGGGCCACAGTGCACTGAAAACTCAGAGCAGTGGCAAAAGAATGGTGAGAGTGGGGCCGTGGTAGCCTGGCTCTCAAGCAGATGGTGAAAGCCCTTTTTAGTGAGGTAGGTGTTAATATTATTAAGTCCCTGTTCAGTGCCTGCTGTCCCAAGCAAAAGGCTAACCCCACAGTAGAAGAAGCAGGACTGGGTTGGGCTCCAGCAGTGGCAGTGAATTCCTTCCCACAAGGAGCAGCTCCAACCTCTCCAAGCAGAGAGAGACGGAGAGAGAACTAGCAGCTGCCCCATCTCTTAGAGCTTTTAAAGCTCCGTCTTTTACCAGCCCAATTTTCTCAGTATCTCTGCCCCTGTGAGAGATACCTCAGATAAGAGGCGTGGAGCCAGATGCCCTCCTCCCCGAGCTTGGTCACTTCTTCTACCCGGTCGTTCTTGTTTCCTATCAATTTATGGGACTGAATTCTGTGGGGTAAAAAACCCTCAAAAAACATCCCAACATCCTAACCCCCAACACCTTGTCAGTGCCTACATCCCAGGACAGGGATCCCAGTTCCTTGGTTTCACTACCACCTAGTTCCGTATCACAGGCCGCAATATCCCAGCACCAGAGCAGTCATGTCACATGGGGCTCTCCTGACTCCTGATATCCTGTCTTTTTGGATATCCCACAACTCACATGGGGACAGGGATGGGGTTATTGTCTCCAGCCCTGCCTCCTCCCCTGTTGTGAGGGCCCTGCTTCCTCTTCATGACTCACTAAGCAGACAGATTTTGCCTTGGATGTCTTCTTCCATGTGAGGCCAAGTGCTCCCAGCGTGGGCTGTCCCTGTGCTTCAGCTGCAGTTGGAGTAGCCATGGTGCCTCTTGCTCTTCCTTGCTCCTTTTCTCCCTGAGAGTGCTGTTTAGTATGGAGCACTGTGATAAACAGTAGCCAGGGCCCAACACATTGCATAACTTTGCACCTCTCTGGAATTGCCAAAGCATTTTTCTTTCAAATGTTCTCCCACTTGTCCTGGGGTGACGTTATGATTCTTGTATCCCCATTCATCTGTTCTGTGCCTTTAAGACCGGCTCTGAAGAGTGGAAGCTTTGTTTGGGTTTCTCTTATCAGGGACACAGAGACAAGCGGTACATAAGGCTGTTTTTTTCACTTCTGGCTTGCTTGCTGCTTTTGCTTGCTCTCTTTTTCTGCTCTTGCTTCTGCTCTGCTTTTGCCTCTGCTTATTAGCTAAACAGTCCACATTCCTTCCTGGACTGTTTCTCCTCTCCTGTTTCTGTGACCACCTCGAACCTGTTTCGGACTGGGACCCGGGAACACCGAAGGTTCGGCTGCAGCAGCTGCCCCAGCGCCGGAGGGACTGAGAACAGAGCAACCACCCCCAAAAGAGACTTTCTGATTTTGCCATCTTTCTCAAAGCGGTGTCATTGGGTATTGTTAATTTTGTGTGCTGGGGGGTGCTGGGCCAGTCAAATAAACAGGTTCTTTCCACCTCTCTCCGAGGAATTTTTTCCCGAACCAGTTGGGGGGAGGGGCCGTGTGGGTTTCGCTTTCTGGAGGGGCCCTCCTTTGCAGATTCTTTAACAAATTTGCCCTAAACCAGGACACACTTTATTGGGATCTTGTAATTGTTCAGGGCTGAACTTCCAAACCACTGGAGCAAAACAGTCCTGTTTCTGCCACATTACATGCCACTCTTGACGACCCACCCCTGGGGCAGATCTCTAAATGACCTTCCTAAAATTATCTTTTAAAACTCTAAACATGGTGTGGACTGCCTGAGACCTGGAAGACTTAGCAACAAGAACGGGCTTTCCTTAACATACAAGGGAAATTCAAAACCCTCAAAAGCTGTTGTCACAGGCTTGAAGGAAGAAAAGGTGGTGAAACCGGGGAAAAATCTTTGTCTCCTGTAGTCCCTAGAGTCTGGGTATGATTATTAATGGAGTCTCAGAGGCAGCACCCAAGGACAAGGCAGGAGGTCAACCTGAATACACATCCCAAACGGCCCTCATTGTCCTTGGTGTTATCATGTCATAAACCAATATCCCACAGAATGATCCTGATCCCTCACCCTGCTCCCAAAAGGAGCACTGTTCTGGGCACAGAGAGTATATATGAAAATACAGACAGGGTGAGGTACCATGCCCACGTGAACAGACCAAGCAATGTTGCAGCCAGCTGCTCTGCACCTAATACAACAAATGCTTAGATCAAATTTTGTTTCCAACCCTCTCTGGGCAGATCTGTTGATACCTCAAGCCTTCCCATCCCATGCTGGGTATTAAATAAGGCTGCTGTGGTTTAGGAATGGAATTCCCCAATTTAGTACTCCCACCAAAACCATGCTGCTGCTCACCCTCCCTTCCCCCTGCCCTACCTGTGGGTGGCTGGAGGAGAATGGGAGTCACAAAAGGCAAAGATAACAAGGCTGAGATAACAATTTACTGGGATCAGCAATGAGCGAAGAAAACCAACAGTAACAGCCAGAATATTAATAACACAAGTGTACAAAAGAGAGAGCTAGTCACAAGCCAAATTTCTCACCCAGAGCTCAGAGCTTACCATCCCACTTCCCATTCCTTCCAATGCCTTGGATGGGCATTACCAGCATTACCCCGGCATCCTGGGCACCACACTGTCCCCCAGAGTTACTCAACCAGAAGGAACCACTTCTTCCCACAAGAAACTCTCTTCCCCTGCCCCAGCAAGAGATGAGATTGTATAGGATAACCTCTGGGTCCTGGCCATGCACCTCCTGGCTACTGCAAAAATTAACCTTGTCCTGGTTCAAGCCAAGCAACCTCAACTGCTCCACATCATGTGAAGATTTAATCCACAGAGTCCAGAAAAGACTGCAGCAGAGTCCAGTGCATCCTTCTGCAGAATGGTATAATACATAAATTCCCATTGCAATGAAGAAAACCCAATTTACTCCTGGATGAACTTAGCTAAGAAAATGAATTTATGTCTCATGAAACCTCTTAAGTTTAGCACAAAGTACATGGATTGTTCTTGCATTCTATCACAGGCAATACTTCAATTTAAAGCAAACAGCTGCCAGATTCCTGCTGTGTCCCACACACCTTACATTGCTCCCTCACTGCAACAAAAGCCATTCCGAACTATTTTCTTTTACACACTGACGGAGCCTTCTGAGATGTCAATGGAACCTACACTTCTACCCCAGAAAAGAGGCACCTGTAAAGCACAGTGACTGGAACAGGCACTCTTTAGATTTCAGAATATTAAATCAGGGTGCCCAGGTGAAGTGTGTTGTCATTTGCAAAAGATCTGAAAATCTGCATCCTTAGTGAAAGAGCAAATTGATGAGCTCAGCTGAAAGAGCCAGGCACTGCAGACAGGATGGAGCACATGACCTGCCCCATCAGTTCCACCCATGTGCTTCTCCTGCTGTTTTGTAAAGTCACTGAGGCTATAAATTTATTTTAAAATGTCTAGGTTGGTTAATACAAATTGAGAAGAGCCTTCTGAGAAATTCTGCTACAGAACATCACCTCTTTCTGAGCCAAGTCCCAGTGCAGATCATGCAGGGAACAGAAGACCTCCTGGTAAAAACAGTTGTCACTTGTCCATGATGTAATTTTTAAGACTAAAAAAGGCTTACTAAGTTAAATTGTCATCTCCAACAACCCTAAAGAACAAGACAGAGCATTCAGATTAGGTTAGAAGGTTTCTCAAGTTTTATCTGCAAAAACTTTGGGCACTTACTGTCCATTCTCCAGGTCCTTTACGTGGCACACAGATGCTTCTACCACATCCTTGGGGTTGTGGTAGGGGTTGCTGGCAATTGAATGCTCCTCAAGGTGGTAGTGCCGGGCAGTCCCGTTGACTTTGTAGATCAGAGGGCTGGCTTTCCCATTGGGTGACATCTCCTCCTTGCTTCTCTCCTTCTCAGGTATCACAACTTCAATTTTCACTTCAACTGCAGGAATAACCCAAAACCTTTGTTAAAATGAAGCCAGAGGTTTTGCTGCTGTTTGCTGCTCTATCACTCCTTCTTTCCCTGAACTTGGAAACAGACATCAAAACAGATATTTTTTGCTGGCTTGGCTTGGAAGATAAAACATTTAACATTGATGTTGGCTTGATTACCTGAGCCCATTATTCCTCCATTCTTTCTGCATTGGACATTTTGCATTCATAAAGTACACATTCTTGAAAGCAGACATGCTTATTATTGAAAGCAAAACAACCTCTCAGTTACAGTTCTTGTCCTGTTTAGTGGAAAACAGTTTCAGGCAGCTCCATATGAAGCATGCCAAGGTCTCTGGGGCTCAGACAGACTTCAAAAACCCCTTTAGTTGTTTGTAGGTAATGTTAACTGAAAGAGAAAGCCAACACTGCATGGTGCATAAAGCTGCTTCATTAGATGGAGACCAATTAATAAGGAACTAGAAATATCCAAAATTATTTCCACATGAGGTTTTGAGTGTGGAGTGACTCCTCAACAGTAGGTGAGAGAAGTCAAGGATGGTCCATTTTTCTCGTGTGTGCACCAGTGAACAGGTCTGACAATGAATCATCCCTGTCCTGGAAACCAGAAGACCCAGGGACACATGGGAGCAAAGGCACTCTCCTCGGCCACCCAGGTGAGGACACGCAGAGCAGCTGTGGCTGCCCCTGGATCCCTGGCAGTGTCCAAGGCCAGGCTAGATGGGGCTTGGAACAGCTTGGGACAGTGAAAGGTGTCCCTGCTTATGGCAGGGGGTGGAACGGGATGAGCTTTGAAACCTCCTCCAGCCCAAATCATTCTGTCATTCTGTGTTAATGTGAGCTCCCTGAAGGCAGTGCTCACCCATCCCCTGCCACAGGCCCACCCAACTACACCCCTGTGTTCCACTCCAGGCCTGGGCTAGGCAAACTGGTCACAGCAACATCAGAAGCCACTGATAATCTCTCACATCACAAAGCGGAAAACATCACTTTATCTCCAAGGGACTTCATCAAACTAAAGCCATTAATATAATAATAAATGCCTGGGAGTTGTATAGCAAACCAGGGGAACCTGCCAGAGACTGGTGAAGTGACTCAAATACATGGGGAATCATTAAGCTTCCCCCATCTTATAAATGTCATGAACAGGAAAATCTGTTGTAGAAGATAAAAGTTGAAGTTCCCAAACTAAGCAGGTAAGGAAAGATAGAGGAAGGGTAAAAACAAGCCCTTCAGCAAGGCTTGTGAATGACAGGGATGCTGGGTCTTCCCAGCCTGATCTGTTGTCCCAAAACTTTTATTGCAAGAATATTGAGAGAACAATGGAAGAACAAGTCAGGGAGAAGGTTGTTCATTTGGAAGGGAGAAAAGGAGGTGACCATGGCCATTCAGGCCCCGGAGGCAGGCAGCTGTCTCAAGACTCCTGCCCATTTCTGCTGTTTGTGCCTGCTCAGCAAGGCAAGGGATGCATGGCTTTCTGCCAAAGTGCCAAATCCCTGTGCTCACCTGGACAGGATTCACCAAGGGTAGAGACAGATAGATCCAGGAAAGTGATTTTCTGTGTATGAATGCTGAACCAACAGAAAACATCACCTTCTGCTGTGCTCTTGCAGCTGCAGGAGTTAATGCAAATGAATAGGCCCTGCACCATAGATTAAAAACCCCACATTGCTATGCGCAAATCTGTTCCTGGAGCTGTAGAGAAGCAGCCAGGGTGCTGCAAGCACCCAGTGAAGAGGCTGCTCCCCATAAGCACCTCTTTCCTAGGGCATTGGAAGAAGCAGACATGGATTTTCCAGGACAGAGTTTGAAAATATAATGAATACCCATTTATGCCAGTCTCAGTGAAATACTTTTGGCCCAAGAAACAGGAAGCTGATGTCATTTAATTTCACAGTCAGTCTGCATAAAATGTGTCAGTGCACCCTTGCAGCCAGACTGCAGAGCCAGACCATGTCGCAGGATGAGACAAAGGTTGGGCAAAGCTGATGGTTCTGAGCCCCAATGGTGAGGGGGACATGGATATCAGTGAATTCATCTGCAGGGAACAACTCCATCTCTCACTTGGCTGATGCCCCAGGACTTTGTTTTCCAGAGCACATTTGGGTCAGGTGAGCACATGGAGTGCCCACTAATTCACAGGCAAATGAACCTGCAGGGATGAAGATGGAAATGTTGCTCTGAGCTTTCCCCTTCTTCCTCAGCAAGAAAAACATATGCAGGAAGCAGCAAGTGTCTGGCACTCAGCCATCCCCACCTGGCACCCGCCAACATTGCTGGACAAATGTCCAGAGGAAAAGAAAAAGAGTTGTAAAATCTTCCCTCTCCTATTTCAGACCCCACACTTCACTGCCTGCCTCTAAGAGGGGCATATCCCACTTGTCTCTCAGGAACCCTCTTTACCCCCATCTCCTCCTCCTTCTCATGCCTCTCAGCCCCTCATGGAGTGTCCCTCTGGCCTGAAACCTGCATTCCTGAGGGATGATCCCTCCAGGAATCCAGGGCTAAGCAGCACCTGAGCTGATCCAGCAAACTGGTTCAGTTGCCATCAGGGAAAATGACATTTAAATGAAATATTTATAAACCCAAGTTTAATTTAATACCAAATCTGATTGGTAAGGGGCTGGAGGCAGTGTGTTCCAGCTCTTTGACAGTCATATCCTATAGCTGCTAGAAGAGAGTCTGGACAGCAAACTGTTTGGAAAGTTTTAGGCATGTTACTACAAATCTAGACAGTAGGCAACTCCTCAGGAATATAGCTGGAAATATGGATATAAATATGGATATTGATACACAGGTATGGACATAAAGGTATAGATACAGATGATATAGATAAAAATATAAATAGAGATGTAGAGATGTGTAGGTATAGATATAGATGACAGAAAGAGACAGAAGTGTGCCTGCTTGCCCTGTGCCACCAACATCACTTATACACACACATATGTGTGTGTAGGTGTTTGTATAAGTTCATGCACATTTTTAAGATATCTCTATAGATACACACTTACATAGATGAAGAACCAGAAGGCCAGGGCTGGAAATAGTTTATAAGAATATAGAAAAAAAAGCAGAGAAACTAGCTGAGCATTAGCAAGTACTCATATCACATATCTACATATACCCCAGCACTGCAAGCTCTCACTACTCGAAAATCCTGAGTCAGCTTCTCAGAGTCATAGAATCATTTAAAACACAGGTTCTTGACAAGACTATAAACGTTGATAGATTTTTTTCTCCCAGGTTTTCAGCCTCAGGTCGAGCACTGCTGGCATTCTTCACATACAATCAGGAACCATGTCCCAACACCATGTATCACTGTTGGCTCTGGTGTTGTTTTTCTCTTGTGGCCACCATGTTCTTGTGCTTTGCCTTGGTGTCATTCACCCAAGCAGTCAAAGCTTAATATCCCATTACATCTCCTGTAAATTTATTCCTTCTCCATCACTATTCACAGACTGGTGGATTTAGTCAAAATCTCTGCTTGCTCTTGGAGAGGTACTTTAGATGTGAGACTGGAACTGTTGACATTGATCCCAAAGCAGGGTGGTGGCAGGTGGCTGGGCTGCAGTGCAGGGTCACAGGCATTATTTTTTAAAAATTAGGGCAATTGGATGCCCCAATACTTCTTTATCACAGGACTGGGTTCCCAGTATGGCTCAGAGCCCTTCTGGAGGCTAAATTTAAATTATGGATATTGGGACATTGAAAGGTTGTACCTCCAGGTACCCAATACTTAAAATACTAGAAACCAGGAAAATACTGAGCTAATTTGGGAAGAGAGAATTGACATGAGCCAAGAGCTGACTTGAGCCAAAGGGAGTCTGAATAAGATGAAGATGTCTAGCTAAAAAGGATGGAGGAGCTGAGCTGGCAAGGGGAGAGCAGTGTGTCTGCCTTCCCCAGCCCTAAAACCCTGCAATGCCCCAGGGTGTGCCCCTTCAGGGCTGCAGGCACAGGGCACAGGAGCACTGATGGCAGGGAACAACCTGCTGCTGGCTGTATGGTGCCAACAGCTTTGAGAGCACTGGAAACCAGAAATGCATCAAGGGATGATGCTGGAGGGACCAGCAGGCACCGCCAAAAATCTCAGTTTACGCCAGCAGGGTTTATTTTCCCAAAGCCAGCACAGAGTAATCCACCACCATGGGACGTGCTTAGGGCTCCCTGTGCCCTGCCAGAGCTGCACTCTCCAGGCATCCCCTGGGCTTGCCCACCCCACGTCAACTGCAAGCCCCAATGACTGTGACTTCAGGTGGTCTCAAAGAGATTCCAAACCATTTCTATGGACCACTTCTCCCCTCCTTCCAAGGCCAGGCTGGACAGAGCTTGGAACAACATGGTCTTGTGGAAGGCGTCCCTGCCCACAGCAAGGGGTTGAAACTACTTGGTCTCTACAGACCTATCCAGCCCAAACTCTTCCATGATTCTATCATTCTGTTAAAAATGACAGAGCCAATGACAAAACCACCATGTAAAATGTGCTTGGCTCTGCTCTCCCAGATGCTCTGTCAGCAAATGCTACAGTCCAGAAGCAGGAGGTAGGACTTAACAAGCAAGGCTGGGGACAAGCTCAGAGCCAAGCTCAGATCACACAGCCAATGGCACCCCCTCCAGCAGTGTGAAGCAGTGTGCAGGGAGCACACTCCCTGCTAAATGCACCCTCCTTGCAAGGGTGAAGCCCACCCCAAGATACCCCATGTGCTGCGAAGCGACTGCCCTGCTATCAAACACTGAGCCCAGCAGAAAAAGAATCAAAATTTATAGATTTTGAAGCACTGTCCTAATACCCAGGGCAGAGACAGAGCTGCTGCAGCTCACACAGAGCTGGCACATGATGGTTCCTGACACCCATTATCCTGATCTGGCTGTGCTGTGGGAGCGGGTGCTGGGATACTGTGCAGGCTGCCAGCTGGGCAGCTCATCCCCAATGCATCACACACCCGAGACAAACCTGAGGAGAGAGTTATGCAGAGACTGAGAACTGGGCCTTCAGAAGAGGATCTGGCATCATGGGACTGCAGCACTGGAGATAACAGCAGATTGCTTCACTGTTTGAACATGAGCTCTTAATTAAACACTGAAATATCCGGACAGGGATGGGTGCTGCAGCAGCAGCCAGGCCTCATGGCTGGCCGGCAGTACAGTCAGCACAGCTATTTAGAGACTCCACTCCCCAGAGCTCTTGTATCACTCATCTGCCCATCAAAAGGTGATATGTGCACAGTGCCAAGGTTATCTCGATGGTTCTCAGGACGACTGAGGGTCTCTCTTGTAATGAAGGAGGTGGAGCAGATAAGATCTCATGTACACCTTGAAAAAGTGCCTGAATCAATTATGTTCACTTCAGGCTGCATCCAAAATATTCCATGTGGAAACAGCACTGATGGAGCAAATAGCTCTATTCTGTCCCTGCTTCTTATTCAGAAAAGGAATAGTAAAGTCCAGTACTCAGCTCTTATACTGTACAATTCCCATATGAAACATCAGGGAAACCCTTTGCTAGAACAATCAGTATCCTCAAGTGCCTCTGTTTAGCTCCTTGCATTTGCAGGTTTGATAAGCCTGGGATGAAGTCCTGCAGCCAGTGGTGAGCTACCTACTCGGGGGGGCTGTGGAAGGCTTGTGCAAAGCCTTTGAAGATGCTAATCCAAACCAGAGCTGAGGGATGGAAGGGCATTGCAGGGTGCCATTTTCAGGCATCTGGCCCTGCTATGCAAATACAGCTCTCTCTCTTAGCTGCAAAAATCAGCAGCTAAGGAAAACTGAGCATTGGTGTTCCAACACTGGTCCAAGATTATACAGTTTTGCTGATATGATACAAAATTAAGTGGAGCTCATAGCAGAGTTTGTCACAAATTTAGTCAACAAAAGCATTTATTCCTGGATGTGTTTTTACCCTCAAACATTTTAAAGAAACATATAAACAGGGCTTTCACAGAGAAGACTTAACAGAGTGAGGCCAGAGTGTCCAGTGCCATATTACCTTGATGGTGCCCCATAATCACAGTACAGGTCAAGGGCAGAACAGCACCTTTATTTTCTCATTGTGCCTTGCATAATGGCAGGGATGTCACTCCATGAATGTTTGGTGAGGCACAACTTCTGTTGCCCTTCTGACCCATTTAGTCCTTCAACCTGCAATCCCTCCTGCCTCAGACAGTGAAGACAGATTGCCAAGGAAAGGTCTCCAAAAGACATCTTTTCACCCACAGGGATGCTGTGGTGGCTACACAGGGATGCTGACTGGTCTGATAGCTCATCACCATTCTCTGATTCCCCTTGCCCTGGGACACAAGCAAGTAACATGGACAAGGTCACCCTAAGCTCTCTCTGAGATGGCCCAAACAAGCTGCAGGATGGAAGCTGGGAGCACTCCTCCATGACAGCTTCAGGAGCACTGTGACCAGGCAGGGATGTCTCCCTCGCGGTACGGGGTGAGCTCCCATCCCACCCACCTACCGCCCCCCTTGCACTGCTGCAACCCCCCACAGCTCCCTGCCTGGCAGTGAGAGCACTGAGGAATTTGGGGGGATTAAGAGTGCAGTAATCCTCCCTGCAGGAGCCGAGCATTAACATTCCCCCGGCCAGCGTCCACCGCTGACCTACTTCTCGCACGGGGCCGGTGGGCTGGGGGCCCGGCGCACGGGGCAGTCACCTGGTTTGGGCTTGGAGAAGCATCCTCCCATGGTGCCGGGCGGGACGGGCAGCGGGGCCGGGGCCGGGCAGGTCAGCGAGGCCGCGGGCACATCCTCGCATGATACAGGAGGTTCCCGGCTCCCGCGGCGATCCCCACCTGCGTCGGGCAGAAAAGCTCCGTGAGAGCGGGCACGGCCGGAGGGCGGGGGCGGCCGGCCGGCCGGGAACCGAACCCGTGACGGCGAGGCCGCCCGTGCCCGCACTGCCGGCAGCACCGCGGATGGACGGACACACGCTGGGTGACCCGAGGGACACGGGGACAGCGACTGCTGGGGTCACCGTGCTGGGACACACCGCTAAATTCAGCTATGAGGTTTATAAATTCAGTCATCAAAGTTAATTACAAAAACCCCCATATCATTTATGGCCAGACTTTAATAACTTCCCAAAGCCCTGCCTTTGGGAATTAAAGCTCTAAGAGCACAGGTCGCAGCACAAATACAATGACTGAACCATAAATACATTTCAGTTGGGGTTTTTGTGTTATTATTAGGAGACTGAAAAAATGAAGTCTATTCTATTGCACAGTCCTGCAAGTTCCCCTATGCCATTTATGCTCATTCCTGAAGAAATGCCAGTGACTTAGGAACAATTAATTATTTAGAGAAAGGGGTTTTGATATCAGGACATTTGCATCAACCTCCTTTTTTTTCATTATTGATTTTTTTTTTTTTTTTTTAATTCTTAAAGTCAAGTTGTGTTTCTCTTATAGGCTTTGACTAGAGGTGCTCTCAGATTTGGTACAGACTAAGAATTTAGATAAACCTTTCCAATTCCATTCCATGACTGAAAACAGCAAAGAGTCATCCAACACACTGGCAATAAAATAGTATATTTAATTTGCTTTATTCAGTCCTGAATTTAACTGATTTACTATAGGTTTGCCGTATATTTTTCAAAAAGCCCTCTGATCTGGGCAGGAAGATAAATACAATTTCTGGATTATATTTTGAGACAGGCAAAGTAGGTTTTTCTGTATCTTATAAAATGCCTCGAGATCTTTACAATAAGAAGAAATTAGAGAAGTGCCAGGAGAGAGATAACAAGCACTTTCTCTCCTTAGCTTAAACATCAACTCAAAATATCAGGATGTATTCCTCTGTTTTCAGCTATATCCCTTCAAAACACAACTTCCAACTCTCCTTCCATGCATAGCATCACCTCTGCTAAGCCCCAGCTGTGTTGCAGATGCAGCTTCAGAGCCTGGATTATGATGAATAAGCCATCCAAGCTATAGAGGAACACAATCCTGGTGCCTTGCCCACGGTGCAAAGCAGGCATGCGCTATTTGATACTCGGCAAAGAGGGATTATTAAATATAAAGGGAAGAGCTCTTCATCCAAGAGCATCCCAGGAAAGTAGCATGACAATGTTTATACAAGTGCAAATGCAAAAAAAAGTTACCATGTCAGAAGGTGCATAAATGCAGAGGAAGATTTGGGAGCAGTGGGGGAAAACAGAGTGGGGATGTCCCATGCAGTAGCTGCTGTAGAGCCCTTTGCCAGAACGAGCAGAAAGAAAGGGAAAATGGTTTTGTACCAGGCAAACCGAGTCTTGGGTCACTGATATATCAGTGATGCAGGGCAACAATTTAGTGCATATAACAAAATACTGGCACTGGTACCTCAGGAGCAAACCAAGTCCCACTAACCCAGATCAGCTCTTTGCAGTGGACTTCCTGCAGCAGAAGTGGACACTGTGGGTGACCCAAGACAGGATCATGGCCCAGGCAAGCAGTGCCCTGGCACCATTGCAGCATTCCCTTGGGATGCTGCACATACAGGGGACCACAGCAGGGAGCCCTGGACAGGTGGTGGGTTGAAGGGTAGCTCCCAAATATGCTTCCCCAGAGAATCACTCCCACTTCCCCAACCCTCTCAGCGATGCTGATGTGGGACTGGTTTCTAGCTGGTCTGACTGGTTTTAACAAGGACTTGTGGGGATGTCAGAGTTCCTGAATGTCAGAATGTCACCCATTCATCCAAGATGCCTTTGCTTTGTTTGGACCTTAAAGATGGCAATCTGCAGCCATCCCCTCAAGCCCACTTCACATCTCCTAATTTCTCCACTGATGGTCCCTCCAGTCTTTCCAAAGCACTGAGACATTTGCACCTCCCAAAGCAGGTCAAGAGGGAAGTGTTTGCTATCAGAGGTGTCCCTTCCCCACTCCTAGAGCTCCCCAGGCAAAACCAAAATGGTTTTTGGTAGGATTTCAGCTGATGACATCAGAGGAGAAGCCACCTGGCTGCTCCCAGCCTCAGTCCCAGCAAGCACATGGAGATGCTTCAGGATCACCTGAGACTCAGATGGTTGCAGAAAGGCACCAGAGCCTCCCCTGTCAGACCAACTCAGGGGACACAACAGGGCCATGTCACTGTTAGTGGCATCCGGAGGCATCGACCCAGAGCTGCATCCTGCAGGATTTGTGGCCAAAGCCATAAGCTCTGTTAGGAGAAGGAAATAAGCCCATATACAACACAAGGTAGCTGAACACAGGATCACCTGTAAAACCTTGCTAGGTCCTGAAGGGTGACAGCCTGACCTAAACAAGGTGACCATGCTCAGTAAACGAGTTCATCATCTGTTCCCTGAACAAAACCACACTCTGTGGCACACAGCTGAACAGGAACACCTTCAGCATCTGCTCAGAGAGGGCAAGAAGGAGTGGGCTACCAAAATACGAGGTAACTGTTGTGGTGCTGAGGAACATACAGGTCCCATCCCTAAAAACTCTAGAGTGATTGAGGAACCGGCCCCTGTACCAGGCTATCTGCAGAACTCCATCATCCACAGAGAGCACTGCCTGAGCACACAACCAGGGATACCAGCCTCATCCCCAACAAGAAAAACTGGGAAAGTTATCTAACAGGAGAAACATGGGAAACAGTCTAGTGCTATCGACCGTGAGCACTTCCCCTGCAAGGCAGCAAAATGTGCAAAATATGGCAGCATCAAGCTTCAGAGCAAGTCAGGGATATCTGACCAGACAGCCCACCTGGTTCAGCCCAGTGTCCACTGCCCAAGCATGGCCAACAGCACCCATCTGCCACAAGCAGGCAGGAGCAGGCAGGAAGGCAGGGACACTCCAGCCCACACTTCCCGCTGGGCTCAGAGTAGAATTCAGAGCCTGCACCACTTCTGAGCAGTGCAGTGCTGGCAGAGCTATTATTAGCACTGTGCTTCTGCTCTCTGCAGTGCCCCAGGCTCCTGTTTTAATCCAGTGCTCTGCTGTGACTCCAAAATCCTTTCCAAGACCTAATGTGGCAACTATATAACTATATAGGCATATTAGTACACCATAGGTATAAAAAATGGTTTTCCCCTGGCATCAGTTTGTGTTTATTGCCCCGGTATAATTTCCTTACCTGGCACCCAGGTCCCTCCCATGCAGCTGCAGCATCTGTCAGCATCTGTCCTGCTGCTGTGAGTAATCCTGCATTGCCTGCCTAGAAATCTGGCAAAGATATGAGCACCAGGCCATGCCCTGTGACATAGACATTTCCCAGAGATGTCAGTCCCAGCTTGCTCCAGCTGGAGACCTCTGTGGAGCACTGAGCAGAGACACACTTGTGCCATGATGACCGAGTCCCTCAGCCATGATTCCTCTGCTGTGTGAGGGAGGCCTGGTGCACATGGACACCAGCTGCACCTGTGCCCTCTCCAGGCTCCTCCAGACCCTCTCACTGAGCTTCTGGCTGCACACTCACCTTTTTGTGGACATCACCCTGACTCCCATTTCCTTGGCCACACCAGCCCTGGGTGCCACCAGAGGAAGAAGAGGTCAGAGGATTGCTTTCCATTCCCTTCCCACTTGCCCAGCACAAGTCACCTCACCTGGTCCCCTGGACACATAGAGGGGGTCTCTCCACCTCTCAAGGCAGCTTTGTCCCCTCCCCATCCCTCTGTCCCCTCCTCTCAAGCCCTGGACCCAAGTTTCCTCTCCTCAGTAATGTGGGACCTCCCAGTGCCATCAAGAAGATGACTGATGTGATCTCCTGGCACCAGGGACTAGCAGGGGCTGCCACAGAAGGCAAAGGCTTGGTGACAACTCACCACATGCTGTCAGAGAAGGGACCCTGCCCTGGGGCTGAAGCACAGAGAAGACAAAGATGCTAGAGCAGCTACCAGCTCCTGAGGATCCTGGATTTGGCTGCCAGAATAAGAAACATCTCTGTCCCTGGGTCTTACAATCCCAGATCCTGCAGGCTTTGCACAGCCCTGGTCCTCCCACAGCTGCATCTCCTCCGCTGCCCTGTCCTCCTCTTGGGACGGACCCAAGCTAGCCCGAGGTCTGCTGGGACACAGTTCAGGTTCCCAAAGCTCAGGAACATGCCTATCATTCCAAGGAAACTAGACAACAATGGGTGCTCCCATCCTGCCATCACCCACATCCAACCTCTGTTCTCCCAGGGCACTCAGGACCAGGTGCTCAGCCAGCCTTCCTCCTCTCTTGATGTCCAGGCACTACTGCTTGGACTGGCTTCCTCCCACAGCTGGAAATGCCTGAATGATCACTGCCATGAGTCCAGCAAGCAGACTCCAAGGACTTTTTCTCTTCACAGAGGTGAGCTCTCTGCTTGCTTTGCAGTGTTCTGCAGCAGGATCTGGAGGAAAGCTGGGGGCAAGCTGGCAGAGCATCCAGAAGACCTTTGAGGAGGTTTCTGAAGAGCCACTGGAATTCAGTGAATAAGTGGGACATCTGGGACCTGCTCTGTTCCCAAGGAGATGACTTCTGTCTCTTCACTGACATCACCAGTCTGCAGGAGAGGGGCTACAGGTCCATGGAAAGCCAAGGTCCACACAAGTGAGGATGAGGAAGGTCTCTCATCAGACACACACCAGGATCTCAAAGCAGAGGTCAGCAAGAGGTATGTCCCAAAGACATTCTGTCAGGATGAGGAGAGCTTCCCCAAGGTCAAGGGAAAACTCCTCAGTACTGGAGAACTAATGAAACCACAAAGGAAAGTAGGCACTGTGAGCCCTGGGGTGGCTGTTTCTCAAAGGGAGTGGGATCAAAGGGCCAATCAAAGGGACATTACACCTCTCAGCAGCTTTCAGTGCAGGGAGCATTAACATGGCCGTTGTGGTCATGACTAT